GCACCAACATGTTGAAATGCCACATTTGCCCCTGATCAAAATAGGTTGGCATGGGACAGGGATCATCGATTTCACAAAAACTATAAGTGATAATCAAGTTCTGATTCTTGGAAATGATGCGCGAGATCATTTCTAGAAAAGTAATTTCTGGATTTGCCGAAATACTTCTTCGTTGATTTTTAATAATTTTATAAATGTCAAAAAAATGGCTTATTTAGGCTTATTTTTCTCAGCAAGGGCGAAATATATCGGGGTAGTCTCAACTGTGTTCGAATGGTCTTTCAAAATACTAAAAATTATCTGCTGGCACCTACCCTGTAATACTTACAACAAGCTTTATATTCTAGAAATAAATATTCTCTATGTATTTAATATACCACTTATTTAAAACTTTATTGTTTCACACATTTACTTGTATAATTAAAATACATAAAGAATATTTATTTCTAGAATATAAAGCTTGTTGTAAGTATTATTAACAAGTATTATAAGTGTTGACATCTAGAAATCATCTCGCGCATCATTTCCAAAAATCAGAACTCGATTATCACTTATAGTTTTTGTGAAATCTATAAGTCCCTGTCCCATGACAACCCATTTTGATCAGGGGCAAATGTGGCATTTCAACATGTTGGTGCTAAAAATCCATGTTTCTCATAAAATTTTAATTCATCTAGTTCAACTCTAACACTACTAGATCTTAAGATATCTTGTCCACGCAGTTTTGTCAAAACTTTTATATACCGTATTAAGTTAGATTTCATGGCATACCTGACCGCTGAGTGGGCAACCCGTCTAAGACTGGCCCAAACGGGTCCATGACTTGTGAAGACGACATCCTTTCCGTTTTGAAGCAATATTTGACTAAAACCAGTGACCGGACGACCCATTAATTCATTATTCTTTGAATTGAATGCCTTTTTAACTAAATTATAGTCAGCGATGACAACCATTGGTGTGGAGCCTAACCATAGAGTAAATAATGGTCCATAGATTTTGTCTAATTCAGTAATTGTGACAAACTCATGGACCTTGCTGTTTCTGAAAACTTTTTTTTATTGATAAATACAATTTATTAAATACCGTAATAAATTATATATCAAATCTTTTATTTATATTAAATGAATGCAATGTTCAACTACAGTCAAAATACAAGCAAAATGTCACAACAAAGTATCAATAGTTTGTTAAGAATTAAAAGTTTTATTCAAAAATATTAATCCACATAAGATTTACAAGTACAAATAAATCACAAAGTATAGCATCAAACAAACATTTATACAAAAATTGGTTAAATATGTGACTTATAAATGCAAATAATGATATACCTAATGGTAATTCATAATTAGTTGCAATTATCGTTTTTTAAGTATTATCTCATAGGGTTTGGGAACTCTATGAAGAAATGAGATATTAGGGTCGGGCTCTAAATCAGCCGTTCCCTCACCCGATGGCAACGCAAACACATAGTCTGGAGTAGACTTCAATAGGCGGACAGTTATGTAGAATAGGGCCGCGAGCGCCAGCTTTTCACCCAAACATATACGCCGTCCGATTCCAAAGGGTGTGAACCCCGGGAGGGCTGATATGTATTTGCTGTCCTTATCTAAGAACCTGTTGGGGGCGAAGACATCCGGTTTGGACCATAGGTTGGGGTCACGAGTTATGGCCAATAGGTTTCCAAAAACAATTGTATCCTCTTTGATTTGGTAATTATCTAAAGTGTGATTGAAATTAAAATTTATTATAGTGTTAATTTAGGGACCTAGTACCTAGTTTGTAGTTTTAATGATTTTAATCAATACCTAATTCATAGTCACAGAGAGCCACGTGTGGTGTTCCTAACGGCCCGACCCCTTTATACCTAAGAGTTTCAGCGATGAATGCATTGACATAATGGCAGTCATTCTTGTGGTGATAGTCTGCCACTCTATCGCCGATAATATCATTGATTTCGTGTCTCATTCTTAACTGCATTTCTATATTGTTTGCCATCAATAGTATAATCCATCGCATCGTATACTGTGTTGTGTCGGTACCGGCTGTCAATGAATTTATTATAATTATAATCTTTATTTTATTTATTATTAAAAAAGTCGTCAAACCTATAAATAAATCCATAATAACCAGTGAGAGGTTGACATCAGTTAAGGCGGAAGCGCTCTCTTTCTCGTCAGCGATGGCCTCCTCTTTGGCTTCAATGAGCGCATCGCAGAAGTCATGGATCTCTCCCTTTGAGTGCACTTTCAGTCGATCCATATATTTCTGTTTTACACTCATAGACAGTCCTTTCATTGTTTGTTCGGTTTTGTTGACCACATTGGCATAAAATGGTTTGAGTATAGGAACTCGGTCAGTTAGGGCTAATTTATTAGTGTTGGCTCTGAAGTACTCAAAGCTTTCCTCATAAAACTTCAGTTCTTTGTCATCAAAAGAGTATCTGTTTTATAATTTTGATTATTATTAAAATGTTATATATTTTTATGAAACAAACCGTTTGCCAAAAGCCGACGACGCGATTATGTTTATGACAGACATATAGATATATGTCTTGGGATTAAATGGTTTACCGATGCCTTCATTCTTAATCATTGTCTCAACGGTTTCATTGACCACATCGTCCGCCAAATCAGACAACTTCTCACTTACGGCTAGTTTTCTAAGTTTTTAAAACCACATAAACTTTAGTTTTGTTTAAAAAAATAAAATTATAGTAAAATTATAATAGTAATTTAAATCATCTAATAAAACTAATTTAAATGTCATGAATACCTGACCGCCGAGTGGGCAACCCGTCTAAGGCTGGCCCAAACGGGCCCATGACTTGCGAGGACGACATCCTTTCCGTTTTGTAGCAATATTTGACTAAAACCAGTGACCGGACGACCCATTAATTCATTATTCTTTGAATTGAATGCCTTTTTAACTAAATCATAGTCAGCGATGACAACCATTGGTGTCGACCCAAACCATATTGTATATACCGGTCCATAGGTTTTATGCAATTCATTGATTGTTATGAATTGATTGACTTTTGTCCCTCTGAAAACTTTTTTATAATCATAATTTAGTAAAATTATATTTGATTTATAAATACTGTTTTTGTATATAAATATAATTTATAAAATGATATACTTAAGAGATTTCCAAGTATTGGCAACGGAAATGGACCTTTTGGTAGGGAAAGCACTCGCAAATAAAATCTCACCAAATACACGGTGATTAAAGCGATGCTAACCGTAATTAGCCAGCTCACTGCGCTATAACTTAAATCAATCATTTTCGTCGCAAAATATAATTAAAAATTATATTTAAAATATATTTAATGAACACTTCAGTCAAAACATTGAAAACTGTCGAAAAACTTTTAGATCCAAAAGTGAATTGAACTGAACTATTGTGAGGAATACGTTTATATACAGAATTTAATAGGTTTTCAAAACACGAGATTGTATTCACTTTTATTGAGTGAGAGCTAAAAATATGATAAATAAGTTTCAACCTGGTGTTCAACATAAACAAACTCTAATTATCTATATAACTAGTCTGGGATCCAGTGGTTATGATTGGTTTTTAACTACCAGTGCAGCGATGATGTAGAAAAAGCCTCAGCACACTCTGACAACATAATCACCCAAGGTCTATTGCAAACAATCGTACACATTCCGGTGTTTATGCGCTATTAATGTTAATATTATTATATTTATTTTATTACTAAATAATTGATATCTGCGCATATTTACAATTTAACAGTTAACTTTTAACTGTTTATAGTTTAACTGTTAAATTAAGTTAAATTTGAACTTAATAGTATATTTAATTATAAAACTTAAAAACAATAGTTTATAACATTTATTGGATGTTATGGATAATAGTGAAAATGATGTCATAATATGAGAGAATTGTCCTTGAAACTATTTCAATCATATACTGTATGATTACAAATACGGTTTAATAAACTTATTTTCTTGATTGTATTTGAAAAATATTATTTTAACTCAAATATTATACATCAAGAAAATATAATTAAAATATTAACAAGGAACTCGTTTGCAAAAGTAACAAAATCATAAAGCTGCATTCTCTTTCCAACTATAACCAGCAAACTATTTAATTTNAAAAATATTATTTTAACTCAAATATTATACATCAAGAAAATATAATTAAAATATTAACAAGGAACTCGTTTGCAAAAGTAACAAAATCATAAAGCTGCATTCTCTTTCCAACTATAACCAGCAAACTATTTAATTTAAAAATCAGGGGACAGTGGGAATGCCTCCCTCACTAAACTACAACTGTAATTAAAGTAACCGGCTGAATAATTATTCCTATAAGAACAGTTATTAATTCACATAAACGGACCAGTTTGTTAGTCTTAATTCTAACTTGAGCCATTATTTATATTAGTGGCTATATTTAAATGAATTACATTCATAAATGCAATGATCTAAACTATCGATAAATAATCAGTTATTATATCAAGGTATTAGTAAAATTGTTTTTACATGTCTAGAAGTACCATATACTGTATAATCAATTCATAATATAGAAAACATTTCTTAATATAATTAGTTCATTATTTGAA